ATCCTTAATCTCTCTACTGTATTTATTTAAAGATTAAGCGTTTTTATTGAATACCAATTCATCCTCTCTCTTGGTAAGAGAAACGAGTCATAATTACGATCCAATTTGATAATTGTAAGAAAAGTTAAGCCGACAATAATCAGAAGCTCATCCCAAAATATGTAAATATAGGATTGATATCCAAGTAGTTGGTTACTTTTATTACGTACTTATTTTTGAAGTGTTCGGATAAACACTAACTTTAGCATTAGAGTGTTTTCTGCAGGTAGCACCCTCTGCATCCAATCGGACCGAATGGTAGAGAGAATATCGAAGACTGAAACTTTAACTTAAGCTTGGAGTTTAAAGATTATTTGTGTAAGAAAACTTAACCTCAATTCCATAAACCGAAACACAAGATAATCCAATGATAAATTGAATAAACAAGGGAATATTATTGTCTGATGTAGGAAATGGAAGAGGTTGTGAAAAAAAAAAGTTTGTTGTCAAGGAAGAACAAATCTACTCTTATATAAGGTATTGAAAGGAACTTATCATCATAATATTCTCTCAAAAATTGCTCAAGTATAAAACCAAAATACATAAAAATGTCTTCAGCAGTTCCTCTTTGTTCCTCTTTGCTGAACTCAATGCTTCTGAATAATAACCACAAAATTAAAACTTCACTCCTTCTACTTATTGGATCCATCTATCAAAACTTGATTGTGTCTTTCATAGTTGTGGAAAGGAGGGTGGCGGTTATAGTGAGAAGGGCTTACAAAGTGTTTATATTCTTTGAACTTACAAATACAAAAGGGCACTCAGAGGATGCAACACTATCAGTTACGACTGTCTCTTCGCCCTCCATCTCCTCAAAATCCACCACAAAATCATAATTTATGTTTTGCATGCAGTGATGACCAGATGTTGACAAATAACAATAAATATTAAAATATATAATTTATAGATATAAGAATTAAAACACAGTTTTGATAAACTTAAAAACTAGAAAATAAGAAAATTTATCGGTACAAATACTAAACCATAAAATTTTACTAAGAGTACATAAATTATATTAAAAAAAATATACTTTGACAGACAAATATTTTACTTTAATGTTATCCTTTTTTACTTTTTATTTCCTTCTTTTTTTAATTTTACCATTAAATTATTACAAAATTTTGTAAAACAATCATAAAGCAATTTTTTTTAAAAAAATGACCTAGTTTGCTTGCATTACACCAATAACTAAACATAATACATTAATAATTGACAGCAAAAAGTCACACCAAACAAAACATAAAGAGATAGAAAAAGCACAAAAAATAAAATACAATAAAAAAAACAACAAAAAAGCAAACATTATAATACTGTTTTATATGCAAGATAGAGCAAACTGTTTTGAAATAAAGAGAGGAGAAGTAGAAGAATTGCATTAGCAGCAGTTTATTATAAGTGGACTTTAAACCTAATTCAACTTACAAAACCGGCTTGTAAAATGAAATTTGCATCTCACTTATATATTATAATTTGGTCTTATCTCTAATCGATATGAAATTTTTAACGCATCTCGATATAGACATACATAGTTTGCCAAGGTCCTTTATAATATTGAGGTCTTAGAGTTGACTTCCAGACGACGACTTTTATACGAAGCTTCCAAGTCTTGTCAGATAGAAACGTGATCAGAACTGTAACATAAAAGCTTTTAGATCCACCTCATAAATATTTTATTATTAGCACTCACCTCACTCACATGAACACACTATAACATCCCAAATATTTCTCTCTCTCACCCATTGCGTAGAGACTTCCACTAAGAAATAGATATCTAAATGTGTTGTTGATACAAGTTGTTTGTTTAAAAACATATATTCTCGTTTAAAAACATAACATATATTCTCGTTTAAAAACATATAAGGGAAAAAACTTAATTGTGTAGATAAAAAGAATGTTGTTTCAGAATTTAAAAGTGTAGATTTAAAAAAATGTTATCATTACATTTGGTAAACAAACTTTAGTGTCATTTAATAAACATCTTCCCGAAATTGTACCATGTGCATTATGTTGTTTACTGTGCATGGAAGATAAATATATTATTAGCACTCACCTTCACTCACATGCAAACAATAACATCCCAAAAGTTTCTCTCTCACCTCATGCCCATAGACTTCCACCAATTGAAATCAAGAAAACAAGTACATAGCACAAAGAAAAGCATCAGAAGTTTAACAAAATATTCTGAAGCAGCAAATAAGAACAAATATTGACATAGGAAGAGCAGTAATTCTTCAACAATGGAGAACAAATTTTGCGAAATCTCAAATATCACTGTTTTCTGACTAACCAAGTTCTACCCCACATAATTCCAAAACACATAGCAACGAAACCAACACAAAAAGAAAACAGCAGAAAATGAAAAGTAGAATTAACATAGAAGTCAACAGTAATTCTTAGAAGTTTTCTATTAATATTAATGTGTGGAAGTGAATCGGGGAGAACGTAAAAAAAACAGAGTGGAAACGGATAAAGAAGGAAAGTCAACCATTACCAAGCTAAAGAGGTGAAGACTTGGATCATGCAGAAACTAAGACTATATAACATCTTTATAATTATACAATTTTTATATAATTTTTATGTATAAATCTTTAAACTTAATTACAACTTGTATATTTGTCATTTTTTATACAATACAAAAATATATATATTTACAATACTTTCACGACAGCATTTTATATGATAAATTTAATCAATATAAAAGATTAATATTAACAACATTTATATTAAATAGTTAGATTTCAACAAATATAAACAAATTACTATTAAACAATATTCTAAACTAGCCAAATAGTACCATCATGATGCTGAAGAGATTATTATATAACATTTTATTAAAATTAAAAAATTATGTCAGTGAACGTTATATTCTTCTAATATATCATAACATATCAACTTTTGACTTTTGAACGTTGAAAATAAAAATAATACATTAATATCTTTTTAAAAAATAACCCAGTTAATAATCTCCTTTAATAATATATATTCAAAAAATTAAATTAATAAATAAAATAACTATAATTAAAATAATATTATTTTAATTGTAATATCGGTGTTTTTTAAATGATGTCAACATATTACCCCTCCTTTAGAAAAATGTATTAGCATCTTCTTCTAAGTTTTTCAAATACAGTTTAACAAACATATTTTAAAGAAATGGAAATTTTCACTACCTTCTTGCGAGGATCTAAATGATATTTATATAAGAATGTTATATAAATTTTATAATAATAAATATATATGAATATACATATTATTATATATACATATTATATTATAAATTATTTTAATTTTATATATATATATATATATATATATATAAATGACACTTGTTTCTCTTATATTTTTAATAAAATGTCTCTAACATTCTTTTCATTTAAAAATAAAATTCATTAGAACTTTCCTATTAAACTTATGAAAATTTAAAATTTAAAATAGGAAATAATGACTTTTAGTAAAGGACAACTGAATGATTAATTATAAGAAAATTGTTCTCTTGTAAGATCAAATTAAATATTTGACACATGTTAATCAAACATTTATTTTATATTTTTAAGTTTTTATCTAAAATTTAGTAAATATGATATTTTATATCTTTAAAATATATAATTCAATTATTTGTACTTTATAAATGGTTTAATACATATGTAAAAATATATATAAATAACATTAAAGTTATTTTTAGAAATTAAAAATATATATCATCCAACCATTTAAGTTTTTGATTCATGATTGAAAATAAGTTTATTTATATAAGATTTAATACAATTTATTAAAATATTGAATTAACGCAAAATAACAATACTTAATTAATAATACATGAAATCTCATTAAAAATATAGAAAAAAACTCAACGTGTGTTTAAAAATTATTGAAATTATCTTACTTTAAGTGAATGCTTGAATATTGTTTCATGCATAAAGGTATTGATTGAAGATTGATATTCATAAAATAGTAAATATACTTAAACCAATATAAAACAAAATTAGTGAAATATAATATCATAAATCAATAATACTAAAAACAACACATTTCTGAAATATTTATATTCAAAGTACGTGTAATACATACATTTGAACAACGAACATAATATTTTGAACTAATAAGTTTAAATCTAGAATAAAAAATATAAATAACGAATATTTTAGATCATTTAGGAAAAAAAAAGATTAAGACTATTAGAAATTATATTGAACTTGTTTTCCGAAAAACCATATTTTTCATTGAAAGTATGAACAAATTTTTCTTTATCAAAAATTTATCAGTTTTCATAAAAAAAAAATTCTTTTGCTTGCCAATTATAGACGGTTCGAATTTTAAAGTGTTTCTAAGTTAAAATTCCAAACATAAGGATTCAACCTAAATAAAAAATCTTAGCAACCTTCAAAATTAGCCTGTTTATACATTTTCATTTTGAAAAATAAAAACCTTGATTTTTCAAAAAACACTAAAAGTACGTTCATTTTACGAAAAAAACTATTTATTCAATTATCGTCATGAGCTCAACAAGAAAAAGATTGATTCTTTGATACAGTTTATTGAAGAAAACCCAGTCCAGTATGATAAGTACGCATTACCAAAATAAAAACAGCTTATGAAAACGTAAGGCATGGAATAGCCTAAATAGTAACTATTGTCATAATATTTACAGCAGCAGGAGTAGTACAAAATTTTGTAGTTAGTGAGGACAAAAAGTTATATGCCAAAGAATAAGTGTAACGTGGGTGGTCTACATATAGAGTAACTCAAATAATCCATTCCAGTTTGATCACTGACAAAATTAAAAAGACAAATAACTCTCAGTCAAGTCAGATTAGGCTAAGGGAACTTCAAAAATAAAGATAAACCAGGTCCATGGACAAAGGAAAACACATAATCTTGATAGTAAGGATCATCTTTCGTATAAACAAATACAGTAAGTGGTCAGCATCGTGTTAGAATATATAGAATGCAAAGGTGTTAGAAAATAAGTCATGGAATGGAACTCGACCACTGTCTTAGAACAACCAAATGCCAATTATCAAGGTACAAAGATGGGTGGCCACGACACACTCAAGCGAGTGAAGGTAGCCAGCCATTCAGTGATCATAGAAATGCCTTATCCTGTAACTACCTAAGCAAGTACTTCAATTAACATTTTTTTTAGGCTTAGAGGCTGCCTTGGTCATGGCAAGCCATTAGTTACAGAAAAAAAAAATCACTTACCAAGCCCACCAAATATCCTGGAATCATGAATACAAAGAATTCAATTTAACAACGGACACATTAGCTAAGCATGGTCTTTCAATAGTATATATATCTCGATCGCTCATAGCTAAGCAGCCTTGACATCGGATGTGTTTTTGGCCTTTCAATAACAAATGAAGGCAAACTAATATATGCCAACATTTTCACATTCAACCAAAGACCAAACAGCTAAACCGAGAACCACATTGATCGGCAGGGAGTTGCAATGAAGTGTGCTCCTATAAACGCCCAAACCCCATAGAATAGAAGTAGTATTTACAACAGCCAAACCAAAGTATGCGTAATGCAAGTCACTGCCTCAATGAATAAGTCACTCCCAGTCACTGTGAATCAAATATTCATAACATATTAGTTTGAAAAACCATACTAGAAAAACACCTACGGTACAGGGTTCTCAAAAAACAGTTCTTCGAATTAAAAACATCACAGGGAAAAATGTAAATATCAAGCCCTCCATTCAACGTAGCCTTAGGTGTATTTTTCGGACCAAACTTTAAACAATTGTCGTGCAGAACTTACAAAAAAATTAAATACTTTTTGTCTAACTAAAAAAAAACCTGAAAAGGATCTCTTTTTGGAGGGATACAAAGAATGCTATAATAGAATTAAAAAAAAGAAATGCTTAATCGAGCATACTAATTCTTTCAATTGTGTATATATAGAACACAACATATTTCACAATTTTTAAAAAATTCAATAATCACAGCTATATGACAATCCGAGCAGTTTAAAGTGATAACAATAGTACTACAAGTAAAGATGGCAAATAAACTCATCCTCGTGAGTATTATCTGAACCCGTCCCTGTTTTGACAGAGAATTCCACATTCACTCGATACAAGTACGGATATGGATAATACCCGATTCATTCAGTTGGGTATGAAGACAAAGATATACATATCCAATTCATCCCCGTTCTCATTCGCACCCTAATATTCAGCTCCACTCGTCTCGTTAAAATTAAAGTACCCACGATTTTATAGGTAACCTAATATTCGTAGTCTTTAGTTTTATAACCTTAAACTACACACTTTTTCACCTATTTTAAAATTGTTTGGCTTATTTTATATCTATAAAATTCACTCATATCTAAGGTACTTTCTCTTTTATCATAACCTCTATGTGGTTATGTTCAAATAATGTATAATCAATTACAGTAAATCAAATCATTTTTATGTCTTACATTTGAATATTTCTACTTCTTTTTAATATTTAATATACTATTTTGTCACATAAAATATCCTCTCAATTTAAGTGTTCAATCATTTAGTAACTAATATAAAAACTTATCTTTTCATTCATCCATAATTTTTTCAGTTGACTATTTTGATAACATAAAAAAATTTTCTTTTTCACCTTATAATACTTTTAATTATGCATTTGTTTTCCTTCATGCTATTTCGTTGAATAGTATATCAAATTGTTTCTAAGACACATGATCATTTTCACTTTTTAATATTTTTATTTGTTGTTTAATTTTATCATTTAGAATATTCTTTTAATGATTTTTTTATAATTATTTTTATTTTCTAATTGGTTATCATAACTGAAATTTTATCATCGTAAATCTTATTTACTATAATATAATAACTTAATGTATTTGTTATGAATCTGTTCATCATCATCAACATTGAAAAAAATGAAAGATCTATGATAAATTTCAATTATTATTAATTTAATCTTTATTTTTTGTGTGATTTCGTTTAAGTGGTATATCATATTTTTTATTAGTGTATAAAAATATTTCATTAGAATTTAAAGAAAGAAAATAAAGAAACATTTAAAACACTTTTAAACTTCGATAGTTCTTTTTTTTTTAAAAAAAAGATAAAAATATATTTTAATTTTACCAACTTTGTTTCATACGTTTGCAAGTTTGCATATAAATTTAATAAATATTTTGATTCTAATGAAATTTTATTTGAAAGGTATACAATTATAAGTTTTTCTAAAAATTTGATATTAAAAAAAATAATACATCCCTTTTGATATTGATATTTAATGATATCAACTTTCTCATGTCATGATTTTATAATTTGTTATAAAAATTAATTAATTGATATTAAAATAGAAAGAAAGTGGGTATACTCATTACCAAGTAGGAATGGGGATGAGATAAAATTGTTATACCAGTTGAGTATGAGTACGGGGATGGAATGAATTTTTTCTTTAGGCATGGGTATGGGTAATAAAACCAGTTGCCATCCCTAACTACCGGTCTTAAAAATCTTACATCAACTAGTGATAATGTTAGTGTATATAGTTTATAAGTAATGGCAATAATCACCTTACAAACTTATTTTGTAAGGATGAGTTAGGCCCATTCTCACATCCTAATATCTATCACCCACAATCAGACTGCAGTAGTCTCATACACAAGATTATATGTTCCGACATGAAAGATGTGTTGAAAATCCCACATCAATTACAGATAAGTCAATATTAGTTTATAAGACAAGACAATCTTAACCTTATACACTGATTTTGTGAGGATGAGTTATGCTTATACTCCCTCTCTAACCACTTTAATTTCTATTTACCCGCATAAGAGAGAAAAATGTCTAGCATAATTTAATATTAAAAACAACCTAGTTGATCAAACTATTAAAGTATGGGTGACAAACAGAACAGAAACCAAAGAGGATTTTACTGAAGAGGAAACAAACAACATATTCATTCAGTACTAGAAGAGGAAACAAACAACATATTCATTAGTTCCAGAAGAGCCAAGAATTTGGTCACTGCAAGAAAGTGATATAAAAAAATCCAGCACTCTAAAGCAATAGTAAAAGAAGATTTAAGGAAGAAAAAATTTCTTCTAAGGAGAACTTACCACTAAAAATGTGTATATGGTCATGGATGTCAGTTAAGTTTTAGACTTCAGCTTAGCTTTGAGTTTTCTCAACTGCTCGCCTTGTTGCTTAAGGAATGAAAACATGATAAAAAAAATAAGATGGAATAAAGAAATAAATGAATATGATTTATGGGACATAACTGAAAGATATATACCTTATATAACATTCTCCATGATTTGTTTGCTCTTTCTTGCAGTAAGCACCACTCTATGGCCATGTCATATTCAATATTGTTGGGCTGAGAACAATGTGAAGTAGATACAGCATCTCTCTGTACAACCAAAATCATACTGACAAATAAATGAAAATGAACCAACTATTTAACCAATATTTGAAAAATTGGCCTAAGATATGGACAAAAAAGATAGATCATGTACCATTTCTCGTTGCATCTGCATCATTCTAAGTTGATCAACAACATGATGCCCATAGAATACTGGCTTCTTCTGGAACGACAGGAATTCCAAAGCTTCCAACAAGGGGTCTAACAAGTAACAAAATTAAATGTTTTTAACAAAAACAATAACTCGTACACTGACTAAAATTTTTAAGCTCACAAAGTTCTATACAGTGACTAATCAACATGGTAAATTAGTCTATGTAACAGCCAAAGTTCATTTACTATATAAGGTGTCACACTCTTGCATCTGCTGCAACAAATGTTTCCATCTTTTCCAATGTTGTGAACATTGAGATCTCACATGGAATTGGAAGGGGGATCATAACATGAATGGTAACATAATTTTCCGAAAAGACTGTAAAACTAAACAATCGTAGTAATTTGTCAATAATAGCTGCCCAAACAAAGGACTTCATGTCAGTGTAGTAGGCATCGTGGGATAAACGATATGATTCAATACCATCCATGACTCTGACAATGTGAATTATTTTTTATTCCTAGATTGCCAATCTTATTCCCCCAACAAGAGCAAATTTAGTGGGCCCCCCCAAACCATCTACTGCACACCTCGTCTATCTTCTTCCATAATTTTCTTCTCCTCTTCATTTCTTCTAATTTCATTTCTACAATGGAGCTCTACTCTTCATTTGACAAAAAAATTGCGTGACTAACTGTTTGTGTTCTCTCTTTTCGTATGTTGAAGTGTTGATTTTGGAACCCTGTTTATGTGATATTTACAGGTTTTTAGATGTTGTATGATGGCTTATTCTGCTGAAGAACGGCTCAAGCCAAAAGGAGGTAGAGATTAAACGGTAGTACTACAAAAGTGTTCCCTTCTTGAACAAATCAATTGATAACACCCAAAATGGTTCATAGAAATATAAGAGCTTTTTAGAAATGGTGATACACCTTGATATGTGATAGTCAGATGAAAGAGAAAGGGAGACTACTTACTAATTTTCTTGTTAATTAATAGTCCAAGTGGGAGATTTTTTTGAAGTCTTTATCGATAGATGGCAAATTAATGTTGAATTGTAGGAAAATATGGTGGAAGGAAGTGGGGAGGAGAATGTAGTCCCCTTGTGTTGCGCAGCTCATTGCCTTGACCTAATCCTTGAGGACATTTGAGAATAAGGAGTTTTGGAGAAAAATGAAAATTGAGAGTTCTTTCTCTGCTGATTATATTTTAATAATGCAATCTCAAATACAAAAAGGTTGATAAGAAAAGCTACTCCCTAGGACCCAATTTGATTGAAAAGTACAACAAGAAATAACTTTTCGAGATATTTGAGAAGACAGTAATAAACTATACAAAGAAATTTAAGAATAACCATAGTTAGCTACTATGGGGCTGAGACTTTTGCAAAGTCTATATATAGTCTTATCCCTTGGGGGACGGGGATAAGGGGGACTAGGGAGGACTGTAGTTTTGTAAACAGGGAAGCCCTATGAAAGGAAGAGTGTTTCCTTTGTAAATGATTGTTGAATAGATTACTTGTGGATTAGTTAGTGTAAATGGGTTCTACACACGCTTTCTTGGAACTTCTCTGTTTTCTGATCAAGGCAAGTATCACCTTTTCTAACCCTCCACCCTCAAGTTAAAGGACATAGATAAGCATGGAACATATGAACTCAATTTGAGGTCACCTTAAAGACTTGATAGAACATCTCCAACATGATCATTGGAGCTGATAAATTCGGTACTAATTCCTCTTAACAACTCTCAAACAAAATGACAATCATCTTGTGTTTGGTTTGTTCATGGAACCAAGAATTAAAGGCAGTGTGAAGTGTAGATAGATTGTCACAATACAATATCATTTATTGAATGTCACAAAATTCCAATTCTTGGAGAAGTTAATTCATCCACACATGTTCACGTGTGATTTATATCGCAGCAATTGCATTTTGTTTCTTGGTTTTCTAGTAAATAATATTGTCTCAAATAAATACACAATACCCAATAGTGGAACACCTATATGTAGAAGATTGCTAAATAGGCATCGCAACACCTAGAAATTTGGTATTTGCTATCATTTTTCTTTAATCCTTGCACTGGGCCCTTCTTGAGGCACTAGACAATGTAGATTACAACTGATAGGATATGGAGAGTTTATGAGAGAAAAAGAAGAGGGTATGAGGAAGTTAGGAGAGTTAATGAGGCATAACTGTAATAGCAGTTGGGGGCGGGAAAAGAGCTCTTATAAAGAGCTGGTGTATTGTTGTCCTGGTTCATTTTTTGAATTTGATTCTTTGTATAGATAAGAAGCATTTCTTGGCTCCCTTGGAGGTTTTGGTTACAAAATTGAAGGAATTAATAACGGAATTACTCTATTTCACTATCTTTCTTCTGGTTTGGTGTGTGATAGTGAAGAGTTTAGGTAGGTTTCATACCCAGAAACCTATCAATTGGTCAGACCTGCCAAATAATATGGTGAGAGGAGCAAAATGGAGGGAAAGTTGAGCGCTTTAGATGGAAGAATGGAGGGAAGGATGAATGTCTTCGACGATCAAATTGAGGCGATAGAAACCATGATGGATGGGTTGAAAGCCGAAATGATGGCGTTACATCAAGAAATTAGAGAAGTCACATGAGTTCTTGGAGGGCGAGCACGGAATCTTGATCACAATTCTAAGGGGAGTCAAGTTTCTGTGAACGAAAAAAGAAGGGGGAGAAGGGAGTGTTCTTATGAAGAATTGGACTACGACCGGAGCGAGGTTTAACCCAATTGGGTGAAGAGGGTAAAGTTACCCACCTTTGAAGGAATCGACCCACTAGGCTAGGTTTCCAGAGCGAAGAAGTTCTTCGAGATTCAAAATGTGACGGGGAGAGAAAGGCTCCAACTGGCTTACATGTGTATGGAGGGGAGCGCTAGTTATTGGTTACGATTCTGGAAAGCCAAGGCCAAGAATCCATCTTGGGAAGAATTGAGGGAGACTCTGGTGAGGAGGTTTGGAGACCGGGACAGGGGGGCGGTGTTCGAAAGACTGGCTGTGATAAAACAAAGAGGTGCGGTGGACGAATACATCCAGGAATTTGAGATGTTGGTGGTGCAGACGAAGGGGGTGATTAAGGACCAACTCTTAGGGTATTTTTTCCCGGCCTACAAGGCGACATAAGGAGTCAAATCCGCCCACATAACTAAGGAGTTACTGGCCAGCAAGGAAGTCATGCGAGATGTGGAAGAAGCGAATCGAGGTTCACGAACGACTGTAGGTACGATGACCAAGAGTAATCAATCTTGGGAAGATACCAAGGAGGCATGAGGATTGTCGCTAGGTCTGAACCTTTCAGAGACGGTCAGGGGTGACAGGGAGTTACAGAGAACGCTGGCACATGGAGGGCACGCTGGGTCCAGCAGCGTCCAAGGCGGGAAGCAACGTGGTAAGTGACGCTTGCGACAGAGGAGTGAGAAACCTACCCTACCCGGAATACATCAAACAAAGGTAGGAAGGGAGGTGTTTCTACTGCGACGGGCCTTATAGCCCAGATGCCCAGAAAGGAGCTTGAGAGTGGTGATAACGGGGGAAGACGGAGAGGAAGAAGAGGAGGAAAAAACAGAGGAAGTGGACCAAAGACCGATGGAATTGTCTTCGTTCTCAGTGAGAGGTCTCACCCAACCCAGGACTATGAAATTGCAGGGATGGGTAAGAGGAAGGAAGGTGTTGATCTTGATTAAGAGTGGCGCTAGCCACAACTTCATAGCTAAGGAACTGGTGGAGGAATTGGGAATGTCAGTGGAGGACCCACAGCCTTACCAAGTGTGTCTAGGCGATGGATAGAAGAGGAGGACACAAGGGTGTTGTAGGGAGGTTTTAGTGAAAGTAGACGAAACAAAGATAGTGGAGTAGTTCTACCTATTTGAAATGGAAGGGGTAGACTTCATATTGGGGATAGATTGGTTGGCTAAATTGGGGGAGGTTACCATTAACTGTGGAGAGTTGAAGATGGTCTTTAGGTAGGGGGAGAAGACAATGATGATTAGAGGGGATCCCACTCTGGCAAAGAAAATAGAGGCTGTTACCTTGGTGTGGAGTTTGGGGCGGACAGAGATGAGTGAAGAGGATGATACGGACCAGGTACTGACGACGGGGTAGAAGGAAGAGTTAGAGCAGGTGTTGGCACAGTTCAAAGAGGTATTCAAAGAGCCCAGAGGCCTGCCTCCAGCCCGCGATATGGTACACAGGATATCCCTCAAGGAAGGAGATGACCCAATGAATGTTCAGCCCTACAGATATCCACATCTGATGAAGGAGATATCCACATCTGATGAAGGAGGAGATAGAAAACCATGTTGCTGATATGCTGAGAACAGGGACAATAAGACCCAGTACAAGCCCATATTCAAGTCCTCTGACACTGGTTAAGAAGAAGGTCGGCAACTTGCGTTTCTATATCGACTAGAAGGCACTGAACAGAGCTACCATACTAGATAAATTTACGATTCCAGTGATAAAAGAGCTACTAGACAAACTAAGGGGCGCAAGATACTTTTCCAAAGTGGATTTAAAAGCTGGGTATCACCAGATTCGTATAGGGGAGGAAGATATACAGAAAACAGCCTTTAGAACTCATCAAGCACACTATGAGTTCTTAGTCATGCCATTTGGCCTTATCAATGCACCAACTACGTTTCAGAGTATGATGAATAGTCTGCTGAAGCCCTATCTGAGGAGGTTCGTGTTAGTGTTCTTTGTTGACATTTTGATCTCCAGTAGATCGTGGGGGAGCATATGGAGCACATTGGTCAAGTGTTGAGTACCCTAAGACAACATCAATGGGTGGCTAATAGAAAGAAATGTGAGTTTGGGAAGATGCAGACAGAGATCTAGGACATCTGATTTCAGAGGCAGAGGTGGAAATGGACAAGAAGGTGATAGCAATTTCAGGGTGGACAGAACCCAGGACCCTAAAAGCTTTGAGGGGGTTCTTGGGTCTCACAGGGTACTATAGAAGATTTATGAAGGATTATGGGACGATGGCTCAGCCCTTAACAAAATTATTAAAGAAAGGACAATTTGTTTGGTCATCTCAAGCAAGTCAGGCAATGGCGAGATTAAAGGAAGCTATTACTACAACGCCAATTTTAGCCCTGCCAGACTTCACTCAACAATTTCATATTGAGTGCAACTCATGGGGGAGGAGTAGGAGCAGTTCTCACACAAAATAAAAGGCATGTTGCTTTCTTCAGCAAGGCATTGTCGAGGGATCTTTAAGTAAATCCATTTATGGAAAAGAGCTCATGGCCTTGGTGATAGCCATCCAACATTGGAGGCCCTATCTCCTCGGTCAAAAATTCATAGTAAATAATGACCAGAGGAGTCTCAGATATCTTTTAGAGCAAACAATCACCACCCATAATCAGCAGAACTGGTTGGCAAAGCTTCTGGGGTCTGATTTTGACATTGTTTACAAATTTGGGATTACTAATAGGGTGGTCGATGCTCTATCGTGAAAGGGAGAGGATAGGGAAGAAGAGGAGATGGAGATGAGGGTGGTACCAAGGCCTTATTGGCTAGATTTCCAGGAGGTTCTGAGGGAAGTGGAGGAGGATGAGACTCTTAAGAAATAATGGAGGAAGTAAAAACAAATCCCAATTCGCACCTTGCGTTTACTCTAGAGAATAGCAAGCTTCACTACAAGGGGAGGCTGGTGCTGTCAGCCCAATCAGTATGGATCCCCAAGCTTATAGTCGAGTTCCATACAACAAACACTAGGGGACATTCAGGTGTTTATAGGACATATCACAAGGTGCCTCAGTCCTTGTATTGGGTGGGGATGAAAAAGTTTGTCACCGATTTTATGGCCAGTTGCTTGGTTTGTCAGCAGCACAAGTATTTGGCATCTTCTCCTCAAGGCTTGATACAGCCTTTGCCAATACCGCAAGCCATTTGGGAAGAAGTGAGCATGGACTTCATAGTCAGGCTGCCAAAATCGCAAGGTCATGATGCAGTGTTAGTGGTGGTCGACCGCTTGAGCAAATATGGACACTTTATCCCCTTAAAACATCCATTCACAGCTCGAACAATAGCAGAGATTTTCGTCAAGGAGGTGGTTATATTGTATGGGGTGCCAATATTTATAGTTAGTGACCGCGACCCACTATTTCTGAGTTTATTCTGGAAGGAGTTGTTCAAGTTGCAGGGGACCAAAGTCAAAACAAAAAAGATCATTAAAACGGGGCAAGTATAGACCACTAAAACTTACCATGAATGACCAAAGTCAAAACAAAAAAGACACTAATGTTGAATAAGATCTCATTATATTTCAAAATAGAATGACCAAAGACAAAAAAAAGTCACTAATAATGAAAAAGAACTCATTATAAATGCAGTTATCATACAACATGGGGTTGAGTACATACAGTCCATTTGACAATAAGAAGCAGCCCTCATCTAGTTCTCTAACAACCTTTGCTGCTGTTTCCATTTTCTTAAATATAGCAAAAGCTTGACCTGCATAATAACCAATATTACGCCATTGTTATATTCAAGCTGATTAACGAAAGAAGGGGTTTTAACAAGGTTTGAAAGAAAAGAACAAAGACTCTAGTTCCAACCAGAATGAGGGCTAGTGTAGTCGTTTTTCTGGATCACCTTTGCAGTGCAACGTTCTTTAAAACCAGTCCAAATAATATTCTGTTATTTAGAGCAAAAAGCAATTACTCAATGAAATTGGCGACAGGAAGCATACTGAGTAACAACAAACTGATAGAAAGACTAACTGCCACGAATAAAATAGTAAAATCAAAAGCTATTTACTCTGCTTCCAGCAAGGAGAAGATTAAGGTAAAAAAACAAAATGAATAGACACATAAATTGTAACACAAACTGTAAGCAAAAAGGTGCCTGGTTGAAAAATTGTCACCATATACCACCAGGGCACAGCTATTATAAGTTATTCGACAACACTGTCAAAAACAAAACCAAGGAAAGAAGAAAATTTATTAAGAATGAATATGACTTTGATTATCCCACCAAAGGCAATCCCTATAAAAAGACCATTGGAAGAACACCAAAAAGACCCAAGTTAGTGAACTACTCTTCTAGATGACCTCCAAAGACTACTTGACAATAGAAAATTCAAGGTGCCAAAACCTCTAAATTAACACAATAACTTGTGTTACCTTGGATTTAAAAATCTCTTAAAAACTAAATGATACTTTATTAAACTATGAATTTCCCAAAATTCAATAGAAATTCCATTTTGACTAACAACTTTACAATTACCCATTCTCTTAAGGGTTTTTTTCACAACTAAACATGAATTATGCGGTAGTAAGACCTTGTTCATCCCCTTGAAATTCTACTCTTTAATGTTATAAGTCAATCCCTGTTCGTCATTACAAGTCTATATATATATAATTCTCCAATCTCTCTTTGATATTGAAATATGTAACAAAAGCTTTCTCTTTTTCGTGCTTAATGCATCTTACTTGATACAAATCTGTCAACCTTTATATACTTTTCACAAGCTTTTGTCGCAAGATTTTTGGTAAAACAAAAGCCTTTATGCTGTGCTCATCGTTGCTTTCATGGTGTTCCTTTCTCTATTTGTTGCAAGCTTGCAAATCTTATGATCTCTATTCTTATTCCAAGATTTTTCTTAAGCTCTTAAATAGATTTGGGTTGTGCCTCATTAATAGCTTTCTCTGTCATTTTGATATGTTATGCAAATTCATATCATTATTGTATCCATATTATAAGGCCTTAAAATCCCTAGCCCAAATGATTTGGTGCATCCATATAGTTATTTATCACCCTGTCTTGAACAATTTTAGTCCACCAAGAATTTTTAAATACCAAGCCCAAATGAATTTGGGACTACCATTTAATTCCCAATTACTTTCATCCAATAATTTGTCCCTATAAAAAACTATCATCTCACTTCCATGTTGCCAACTAAGACTCTCCCGGAATCACCTTATAATCCTTACAAACTCTTTTATCAATGCTTCTTACCAAAAAGAAATCAATTTGTAACCTTAAGTTTCCCCGAATAAGTGTTAACACATACATTCCCCCTGGTTCCTAAAACAAGTTTTATAATCCTGAAATCGTAAGTCATAGAGAAATCAAGAATAGATCTCCATTCATCATTTAGTTTCCCAAAAACTTAAACCAGTATTAGGTAATGTAAATCGTCTTTTTCCTAACCAAAATGTCCATACTGCCCCCAAAGATAATTTTTCCCTCTTAGGAAAAAAGCCTTGAGAACACCATTCCGAATATTCCCACCTGTGGCACACTATTACTAATGCCATAAATTGACACCCATGCAACCATTAATTTTAAAGCTAAAAACTATGCATAACATCATTTTTATATTCATAGGCATTTCTTTCCGTTGTCTACAATACAACCACATTGCACTTTCACTGTGGTTAAATCACTGAGAATTAAACTGTAAAATAATTCTAGAGGGCTTAATTGATCCCTCTCACAATCTTCTATTTATAAGAATAAATTGATACAAAAGTACATGATAAATAGAATAACCCTAGACACAATATAATCATGATAAATAGGGTAATCCTAAACACAATATAATCATGATAAATAGGGTAATCCTTGACACACTATAATGATGATAAAATAGGATAAATATCCTAACAAAATCCATTGAAAGGATTAGTGACAAAACAAGTCACGAAAGATGGAACCGTTCTAGTACCATCTCAAGGAGAGAGAAATCGAGAAGGAATATAATAAATTATGTGTTGGATAAACACATAAGTGTTCTTATTTATAATGAAGAAGGGATACAATATTAAAAACCAAAATCAATATATGGTAATGGGAAAGATTTGACAACATGTTTTCCTATCAAATCACATCTCATAATTGTAACATTCCTGTTGTAATTAGAGGAAATATCTATAGAATCTTCTTAATTAGAAAAAATATCTACAGAATCTTCTTAATTAGAAAAAATATCTATAAAATATTCTTAATTAGAGAAAATATCTATAGAATCTTCAAAATTATTTTTCAATATATTGTTTCCTTATTTTCCTATTTTAGAATATTAGATTGCTACAGATAGAGGTAAAGAGAATGTAATTGACATGAATGAAAATAATAAAATCATTTTCTTTTTCAAGTTGGTATCAAAACTCCCGATCTTGGGAGCTCTGTTTCCGCTGCATCAGTAGCCACCACCGTCGTTGTCTGACCATCGTAGTTGCCATTGTAGTCGGTTGGGATCGTTGATAGGGCAGAAAGGTACGCCCAACTCCGGCAAACACAACATCAGAAATCGCTCCGGGAAAGAAGTCGCCAAGCACCAGAAATCGCTCCGAAAAAGAAGTCGAGAAACAATATACTGAAAAATAATCTAGAAGATCATACATCTATTTTCTCTAATTAGGAAGATTCTATCGATATTTTCTCTAATTAAGAAGATGCTATAGATATTTCCTCTAATTACAACCCTTCCCTTTAAGTTGATAAATGAATGTCAATCATTTCCAACTTGCCTATAAGATCTTGAAATCTATCCGGAAGGAGCGCTTTTGTAAAAATATCTATTATCCGATGTTTTGTAGGAACATGAGTTGTAATCACAAAGACAAATTTTTTGACAAAAAACATGAAAGAAAACAACCCACTTTGACTCTCGAGCAAGAAAAATTATCTAATCCGAAGGTGAGCATCCCTAAAGATATAATTGAGGAAGTAAGAATTACTAAGGATTTACCAATTGCATTGAGAAAAGAAAGAAGATCATGTGATAAATATCCTATTTCTCAGTATGTTTGCACTAACAATCTCTCTAATAAACACAAAAGCTTTATTACTGCCATTGATGCCACAGAAATTCCTACCTAAATCCAAGAGGCCATGAAACTTGAACATTGGAATCAAGCCATGAAAGAAGAGATGAATGATGCATTAGAAAGAAATTCAACTTGGGAGATTGTTGAGAAGCCAAGTGACAAGAAGGTAGTAAGGTGTAGATGGATATTCCCAGTGAAACATAAGGCAAATGGGACAATAGAAAGATATAAAGCTAAATTGGTGGCAAAAGGATATAATGATTTTATGTGTGAATATAAGTTTATTATTAAGAATTTTGAGTGGCATATAATGATTTTATGTGTGGATATAAGTTTAATAAAATTTTAAATTTGTAGGACCTTACGATCCATGTTACAATCTTCCAATTTATGATTTATATTTCTCTTTCTGATCTTGAGTAAGATCTAGATTTTTACTTCCTTGCAAGTGAGCTAAGTCCCAATGAAATGATTGAGTTGTTATGCTCTTTAAATAGAAAGAGTTGCACACTTACTATAAGTCATAGTTTTTCGCCTAGTTGTAACCGCTTGATCTAACATTTGATATCAAAGCCAAGGTTACAAACTTGATTTCCGTCAACATAATGATTGAAAGGTGATTGTTGTTAGTCGCATCAATCATTCTTTGACAAAAATCAAATGGACTAAGTCCCAATTGAGTTATGACACTTTAATTGCTACATTCTTAAATAGGAATTATTCCTTGAATATAAGCTATAGATTATTCCTTGATTATACGAGCTCAATCCAACACATAGTCTTCAACTGAAATCATGACAATTTTCATCTATGGCTTTGTTTAATGCTTTAAACAAAATGTAAGGATACAGCCACCATAAGAATCAACTTAAGAGTAATAAAAAATTGTTCTCTAATCACCACAGGAAATATAAGGAAAAATCTATGAATTCAAGTAAATGCATCAATTCAAAATACGCAAAAATTGATAGTTGATTTTGCATATAGGCAAGTAAAGGAGTCAATTCATCAATTAGAAAAGAATTAGAACACCTATAAAGTGAATGTCACCTGTGAATAGATAAAGAATTAGAAAGATTTAATGAAAAGACCTATAAAGTCAAGTGAATGCATCATCTCAAAGCCTGCAAAATCAATAGTTCAATTTGTGTACAGGCATGAAAATCAGCTTATATTCCAAATCAAATGAACCTTTTCAATAACAGGATTTAACATGCTAGCTTTAAATGGTACTTTTATGGGTTGTAGGATCTGTATTCTAGTTCTCCACCTAATGAATAAGAATACATAAATTGGGAATGATTATTACCTGTACCTCTGATGAAGATAAAGATGGATCCAAGTTTTGAAGTAGCACAAGTTTTCGTTGCTCAAAAGCAGTTTTCAGTTTTTCTTCCCAAGGCTGAAAATAATATAAATCATCCATAATGTCTCAAGCTTTATTTCACTATATCTCAGTCAAAAACATCAGCCAAAACAAGCAAAATCATAGATACCACATAGTTCATTGCATTGCATCCTACAAGTAAATTCAGTTTAAGAAAGGCAACTTGAGAAAATAAAAAGAAAAAAGAACTTACAATTTCCTTAAACCATTTGCGTCTATCCTGTGACAAAATGGAGGGGGAAATTGAATAAGCAAACCACCAAAGTACAAACTATTTGAATTGATGTCAACAAGAAACACACAGCAAAATCAACTAAACAATTAAATTACAAACAATTGACATCAAAACATGCCATTATTTACCAAATTTTAAAATGAAAATTTCTTAAAATATATTAATTCCTTAAGAAAAACATTCCAACAGGATTGCCCACTGAAATAAACCTCAAACAGGAAATCACATAGGATGTGCTCAAAAGAGTTTCATCAATTCCTTATCATTAACAGTTGTAGTTTATTTATTATGTCACTAATGAGAATTGATNAGAGATGAGTGAAGAGGATGATACGGACCAGGTACTGACGACGGGGTAGAAGGAAGAGTTAGAGCAGGTGTTGGCACAGTTCAAAGAGGTATTCAAAGAGCCCAGAGGCCTGCCTCCAGCCCGCGATATGGTACACAGGATATCCCTCAAGGAAGGAGATGACCCAATGAATGTTCAGCCCTACAGATATCCACATCTGATGAAGGAGATATCCACATCTGATGAAGGAGGAGATAGAAAACCATGTTGCTGATATGCTGAGAACAGGGACAATAAGACCCAGTACAAGCCCATATTCAAGTCCTCTGACACTGGTTAAGAAGAAGGTCGGCATCTTGCGTTTCTATATCGACTATAAGGCATTGAACAGAGCTACCATACTAGATAAATTTTCGATTCCAGTGATAAAAGAGCTACTAGACAAACTAAGGGGCGCTAGATACTTTTCCAAAGTGGATTTAAAAGCTGGGTATCACCAGATTCGTATAGGGGAGGAAGATATACAGAAAACAGCCTTTAGAACTCATCAAGCACACTATGAGTTCTTAGTCATGCCATTTGGCCTTATCAATGCACCAACTACGTTTCAGAGTATGATGAATAGTCTGCTGAAGCCCTATCTGAGGAGGTTCGTGTTAGTGTTCTTTGTTGACATTTTGATCTCCAGTAGATCGTGGGGGAGCATATGGAGCACATTGGTCAAGTGTTGAGTACCCTAAGACAACATCAATGGGTGGCTAATAGAAAGAAATGTGAGTTTGGGAAGATGCAGACAGAGATCTAGGACATCTGATTTCAGAGGCAGAGGTGGAAATGGACAAGAAGGTGATAGCAATTTCAGGGTGGACAGAACCCAGGACCCTAAAAGCTTTGAGGGGGTTCTTGGGTCTCACAGGGTACTATAGAAGATTTATGAAGGATTATGGGACGATGGCTCAGCCCTTAACAAAATTATTAAAGAAAGGACAATTTGTTTGGTCATCTCAAGCAAGTCAGGCAATGGCGAGATTAAAGGAAGCTATTACTACAACGCCAATTTTAGCCCTGCCAGACTTCACTCAACAATTTCATATTGAGTGCAACTCATGGGGGAGGAGTAGGAGCAGTTCTCACACAAAATAAAAGGCATGTTGCTTTCTTCAGCAAGGCATTGTCGAGGGATCTTTAAGTAAATCCATTTATGGAAAAGAGCTCATGGCCTTGGTGATAGCCATCCAACATTGGAGGCCCTATCTCCTCGGTCAAAAATTCATAGTAAATATTGACCAGAGGAGTCTCAGATATCTTTTAGAGCAAACAATCACCACCCATAATCAGCAGAACTGGTTTGCAAAGCTTCTTGGGTTTGATTTTGACATTGTTTACAAATTTGGGATTACTAATAGGGTGGTCGATGCTCTATCGTGAAAGGGAGAGGATAGGGAAGAAGAGGAGATGGAGATGAGGGTGGTACCAAGGCCTTATTGGCTAGATTTCCAGGAGGTTCTGAGGGAAGTGGAGGAGGATGAGACTCTTAAGAAATAATGGAGGAAGTAAAAACAAATCCCAATTCGCACCTTGCGTTTACTCTAGAGAATAGCAAGCTTCACTACAAGGGGAGGCTGGTGCTGTCAGCCCAATCAGTATGGATCCCCAAGCTTATAGTCGAGTTCCATACAACAAACACTAGGGGACATTCAGGTGTTTATAGGACATATCACAAGGTGCCTCAGTCCTTGTATTGGGTGGGGATGAAAAAGTTTGTCACCGATTTTATGGCCAGTTGCTTGGTTTGTCAGCAGCACAAGTATTTGGCATCTTCTCCTCAAGGCTTGATACAGCCTTTGCCAATACCGCAAGCCATTTGGGAAGAAGTGAGCATGGACTTCATAGTCAGGCTGCCAAAATCGCAAGGTCATGATGCAGTGTTAGTGGTGGTCGACCGCTTGAGCAAATATGGACACTTTATCCCCTTAAAACATCCATTCACAGCTCGAACAATAGCAGAGATTTTCGTCAAGGAGGTGGTTATATTGTATGGGGTGCCAATATTTATAGTTAGTGACCGCGACCNTTTTAATTTTGGAACAGTAACTAAACAAGTGAAGATAGAAATTCAAAGTTCAATGATCTGACCATAGTTAAACCAGTGATAATTAATAATATGATTTTAATTCTAATGTCCTAGAGAGGAAAAATCATACAAAAAAAAAAATAACGTAAAACTTATAAATTCATAGTTCAAAAAATAAACTTCACTAATAGATGTCATAACTCAGCATACAACACCCAAATTAAAATGAAACTAAATCAAATGAGATAAATTTTAAGTTCAAAAGCAAAACACATTAACACCTAATAAAATTTATTAAAACATAAAGACAATACCAACATAAATAAATATAATTGATGCAATTATCATTACAAGCTTTGAAATATACTAATCATCATAATTATGTGCTTTGAAATACATTAATCGTCATAATTATGAGCTTGGAATTAAATAAATAAAAGGCAAAAGGCTCCTCACTACAAACCAATTTGCTTTGGTTCAACCCATCTTACACAAGTACTATACAATACTAGAGATATCAAAATAAGTCATAACCCACAAACCAACCCAACTCACTAAAGGTTCAGCAAGGTTGGGCTATAAAACTTGAGATTGAAACTGTAAAATAATTCTTGAGGGCTTAAAGGATCCCTCTCACTCTCATTCTATATATAAGAAAGTTTAATGCAAAGTATATGATAAATAAGGTAACCCTAAACACAATATAATCATGATAAATAGGGTAACCCTAGACACAATATAATCACGATAAATAGGGTAATCCTAAACACAATATAATGATGATAAATATTCTAACACTCCCTCTCAAGCTGGAGCATACAAATTATATGCATCAAGCTTGGAACAAATAAACTCAATCCGAAGACCCCTTAATAACTTGGTCAACACATCTGCGAGTTGATTGTTTGACCCAACAAACTCAATACATATTTCTTTAGTCAACAACTTTTCACGAACAAAATGACAATCAATTTCTATATGTTTAGTCCTCTCGTGAAACACTGGATTTGACGCAATGTGGAGAGCAGCTTGATTATCGCATTACATCTTCATAGTATGGATGTCACAGAAGTTAAGCTCTTGAAGGAATTGTTTCACCCATATAAGTTCACATGTGAGTGACGCCATCGCCCTATAATCGGCTTCAGCTGTTGATCGAGCTACTACATTATGTTTCTTACTTATCCATGGAATAATGTTTCCTCCCAGAAAAACACAATATCCTATAGTAGACCGTCTATCAATAGGCGAACCTGCCCAAATGTTTTCTTTATCTTCATATAACAATCCTTGCCCGGGAGACTTTTTGATATACCTTAGAATGCGAATGAAATGAAAGCATTCCCATGGTCAAACCACATGGAGCCCTGCATGAACTGACTAACCACTCCCAACTGCAAAGGATAGATCTGCCTTGTAATAGTGAGATAAATTAGTTTTCCAACCAGCCTCCTATTCCTCCCTGGATCGGAGAATAATTCACCTTTTTCTGTCCTTAATTTCTGGTTTGGGTCCATAGGACTGTCTACCGGTCTGCAATCAATCATGTCGGTTTCTTGTAATATATCAAGAGCATAACTTCTTTGGGAGATTAACAACTCCACTTTTGATTGCGTAGTTCAATGCCTAAGTATTTGAGACTTCCAAGATCCTTGGTTTGAAAATGTCTACACAAGTAGTCTTTCAGTTAGAGATATTCCAACAGCATCATTTCCTGTAATGACAATATCATCACCATATATTATTGAGTAAACACATTTCCCAAGAGAAGAATGTGTTTTAACAATGGAGCTAATCTTTCCAAACCAAGCACGTGGTGATTGCTTAAGGCCATAAAGAGATCGATGCAATTTGCATACCATACCAGACCTCCCCTGAGCAACAAACCCAGGAGGTTGCTCCATATAAACTTCTTCCTCAAGATCACCATGTAGGAAGGCATTCTTGATATCCAATTACTGAAGTGGCCAGTGACGAATGGCTACCATGGCAAAGAAGAGGTGAATAGTAGTCATCTTGGCTACAGTAGAGAAAGTGTCACACTAATCAAGACCATAAACCTGAGTGTAACTTTTTGCAACAAGTCGAGCTTTGAGCCAATCAATTTCACCATCAGGGCCGATTTTAATTGCAAACACCCAGCGACAACCAACCGCCTTTTTGCTCGGGGGAAGGGGCACCAGCTCCCAAGTATTATTGTGGTCAAGAGCCTGCATTTCTGCAATCATAACTTGTCGCCATTCAAGATGATCAAGTGCTTCTTTCACATTATTAGGTATAACAACAGAAGACACTGAGGATAAAAGAGAAAAGTAGGAGGGTGACAATCGATGATAGCTAAGAAAATTATAAATGGGATGAGGGTTTCGAGTAGAACAAGTACCTTTTCTGAGGGAAATAGGCCATGATGAATCATTTTCACCAGGAGGCGTGGGAGGAGGTCACGAAGGAGAAGAATCTAAAGTAGGAGATTCACCATTGTCTTGGGGAGGTGGATTATCCATTGAGGCCCTGTGTGGGAGTATGTGAAGAACGGGTGGCAGGAGATTGTGATCAAGACTTGGAATGATAGAGACAGGGGACTATTTGACTCTGCCACTAGAATAGGAAGGAACTGCTGGAGGATAGAAACATCCTGAACAGATGAAGAGAAGTAAGGAGTTTGTTCAAAGAATGTGACATTGGAAGGCATGTAATACTTCTTAGTTTCAAGAGAGTAACACCGATATCCTTTTCGGAGTTGAGAATAGCCTAAGAATATAGATTAGAGAGCGCGAGCGGAGAGTTTGTCTAGACCTAGAGACATGATGTTAGGATATAGGGTATTTGGATATATGGGAAGGGGATTAGGATAGAAGGCAGAGGAATTGTATAAATAGATTGATTGGATAGTTAGAAGGCAGTTTTTTAGTACATTGACGGTTGACAGGTTATGACCTGTAAAGAGGGTTAAGCCTCTAAATTCTTTTTGTACAGACACTCTTACTAAAATAATATTCAATTTTCTCTCTTTCTTGTGTCTTCTTGGTGAGTGAGAGAGTCTTTAATTAGGTTCCCAATTCAGGAACCTATCACATGTCATGAACAAAACGTACACAGCCAAACACTCGGGGAGATGTATGAAAAAGAGGATCATTAGGAAACATAATGGAGAAAGGGACTTTATTATCAAGAGAGGAGGAGGGCATCCTATTAATAAGATAACATGTAGTCAAGATGGCATCCCCCAGCGATGGACAGGAATATGAGCACCAAGCAAAAGGTACGGCAGTTTCAACCAGTGTCTTCAACAGCAGATTGGGCTTCACCTGAAGGACAACCATATCATGATCTTCATTTAAGATATGCAAGCTTGTTTGCAGTGTCATAGAGACGTTGGATATCGTTGGCATAGATGCTTTGAGCTTTCTTCCAAAAGGAGTTACAAGTTTTGAAAACCCTCAAAGATATAAGAAGTTTGGGTTCCACTGATCGCCATAACAGGGCACACAACTGGAAATCTGCTTGTTTCCACTAATTAGCTTTTCAGCAAGCACATGGCTTCCATCTCGCTCAAGGTGGTCATAATGCCCTTGACCAAGGAACCACATTTCAACGGCAACAGACTATGATAGATAATTTTTCCCATTTAGCTTCTTGGAGGTAATTGATGGACTTCCAGAGAAGGAAAAAGTACTACCCGGCGCCATCTTTGAAGAAGACGAATCGCACCAACGAGGAACAAGAAAACCCTAAGCATTTAGACGAACGGAACTGTGATGACAGCCAGCGATGGACGGCAACGGCCGGAATGGACGACCGACGGCGGACTGCGGTGAACAGCGACAGACGTTGGCGAACAGCGGCACCAGACAGATGCTACGAGACAGAAACCAGAGCGGGATCGACTCGCTCTAATACCAACTTGAGATTGAAACTGTAAAATAATTCTTGAGGGCTTGAAGGATCTCTCTCCCTCTCATTCTATATATAAAGAGTTTAAAATTAAAGTACATGATAAATCGGGTAACTCTAAACACAATACCCATCTACCAATACATAACGCAAAATAGGGTAACCCCTAACACAATATAATCAATGATAAAAAGGTAACCTAAACACATATAATGATATAAATAACCCTCACAGCTCCTCACTACAAACCAATTTTGCTTTGGTTTAAACCCACTTACACAGTAGTAACATACTAGAGGTGTCAAAATGAGTCATAACCCACAAACCAACCCAACTCACTAAAGGTTCAAGCAAGGTTGGGCTATAAAACATGAAGCCACACAAAAACTAAGTCAAAATCAATCCAACTCATATAACCTATGACCTAAACTAATTTGAGACAAGTTGGCCATTTTCATAATGAAAACAAATATGGAGAAGTTTCACATATCAAGAAAGATAAGAAAATCAACATTTTTTAGCTATCTCGAGTTCTCATAAATTTGGATTATTTTCATTGAGTTCTTATAATTTTGTGGTTTAATTTTGTCTTGAAAATTTGAATAATTTTCATTTAAGTCTCAGTCCTATTAGTAAAATTGTGTTTCCAAATTTTAAGAATCGTGAGTCTTCGATCTTCTTCTCCTTCCCCAATCTCACATTACCTGAAAGTTGCATTTTTAGAGGATTGACTTGGATCGGTATTGGAAATCACAACTCGCATGGGAGCGCAGAGTCTTAGAATGCAATCCCTCCCTACAGCGAGGAAGAAGTTGACAGACCTAGTGGCTATTTATTTTCCTGTTCTGATCTTGAGTAAGATCACGATTTTGACTATCTTGGTCCTTGCTGTTAATTTTTCCATAACTGGGTGACATGGATCGTTATCTTGCCCATCATCTTGCTTATTTGTCTCCATATGTTATTTTACATTAATATTAGACGAAGTAGTTTTGTGGTTAACATCACAGGTGGCTTTTATTTTTTTGGTTCAAAACGACAAGGAAAGTCTCGTTGGATTGAGACTGGAAAGGAAAAGAAAACAAATGTGTTGAGTAAGGGCAAACTAAAACCTAAATACAAGGTTGGAGGACTACGGAATAAGCATTGGGAGACTACAAAACAAAATGAATATTATATTCACAACTCAATTGAAAATGTTCATATTTATCAAGGAATTGAAACTTAATTAGCTTATTTTAAAATTTGACAAGTCACCCACCAACAAATGATGGGACAAAGCCACTTGAAATTTTTTAAGACACCACAAAGTAAGTCGAATTGAGTTAAATTGCTTTTAGCTCAACCCATGTGAGTTGGGTTGGTTCTCTTTCATTCACAAATCTTATATCATAAGATACAAATGTTATAACCCACAAGAGTTAGTAGCAAATAGCAATGCAAAGCAACCACCATCCAAAACCATTATACCAAGACAATAGTTATTTTTATCCCTAAGTTGGTGTATATGACATGAATCATTGTTGTAGCTAAACAAAAAAGAAAGGAGCAAGCCTCAATGGAAACGTCATGACAGGTTACTGAAAATGTCAATAGAACTCGAGAGAAAAAATAAAAGAGGAAGGGAGTGAATTACATATGAGGGATAGTGAAATAATAGGGTGAAAAACATATATTATAGTTCAAAAGATAAAATTACCCTTTTATACTTAATGAAAATAACACCCAAAAAGTAATGACACCTTTTGGTCATAATTGGCACCCATAGGTCAAACCAAGATTTCAACACAAAATATCACAGAAACAAAGAGATCTCTTTGAATTTGGACATAACACACAACATATGGGCACAAAGCCAATGTGTTACATGACCTTTCTACCACAAAGTGATGTTGCTCCACTTCACATAAACATCATAAAGACATTAACACGCGATATTGACTAATGTGTTCTAACCCAAAATACGATTGATTGAAGCAATTTCTTCTCTTCAAGGCAGGCCCAAAATCTATGTGAAGCACTATAGTGTGAAACGACAAGGATTTTAGCTCTTAACAAGTCAAGATCTCATAATGACCAAAAATATAACTAAAAAGTTTCTTATAAGGCTTGAACAATTCTCACCACACAAGCAATTTTATGGGATTGTATTAGAAAATGTCACAAACATGTTGTGCCATTAACATTGCCCCAGTCTACGCCTAGCGCCCTCAACATGAAAAGGGGTGTTGGAAAATTGTCTTAATTGCAATCACACCTAGTTAACATATATAATGAGAGATCTATATGCGAGGAGCTGATTAAAAAAGTTTAAGAGTTTTACCGTGGAACACCATGATGTCAACTCTTAGTGGGCTGAAATTTAGCATCAACTATTGGTATGGTCAATGTAGTCCTTATAAGGCTAGTGACTCCTCACCTTACATTCTAGAGAAACAAGTTGCTATATTTAAGAAAAACAAGGGAGATTATAAAGAAAAGAAAAAAAAATCTCAAACAAACTAACAAGTAAATTAATAACTTGATACAAAGCAAATCAATTTTTCTATATCTTTAAATTGTAAAATAACCTCATGCATAAATCATTGAAGAAAATAAGTTTTTGACCTTCAAATGTTAATTGATAGCCACAACTATATCACAAAAATATAATCCACCATAAATAAGTATCAATAAATTTAAACATTATGAGATAACCCATAGTTGGAATCTAACCCCAACCCATAAACAAAACCCAAACTAATTTTGGCTATTATCACAACAACTTTTTAATTACTTGAGTTTGGCATTTAAGTTAAAAACGGGGCCAAAAGTTCAAAATAATAAAATGTTTTTATATAACTCTTCAGAATAATTTAGAAATTCCTTTGCCTCCATTAGTAGTTTGATGGTAAAATGAACTTATTAGTGTGACACTAGAAGCTATCCATTTAAAATGCCTAAGAATTTAGTGTGATATGGAAATTTTTCATGTTAATCTAGTGTGCATACAATAGAATTACCCTAGAAATGCATCACTCTTTAATCCGCGAAGCACCAAGCCCTAGAGGATAAAAATGGAAAGGATTTTAACAAATCCAGCAACACAACCCCTTTGCATTACCAATTAAATAAATTGGCTCTAAAGTAATATGATATTAGCCCAATCAGATCGTTGTCTAACCCACGCATTAAAAGCACAATTTGGCTAAATGCCACCATTAGAGGTTGGTCAGTGTTCATAGCTTGAAGACTATCTTGTTCACTTGGTTATGTGGTGAAGTAGTAGGGTAAAAGTGCCAAGAGAACAATAACTATGAAGACAAAGAAAAAGGGCTTGCGATGCAACTTACATCATCAGGTCTTCGAGTAACTTCCGTTGGACGAAAATCTCTCTCGTGTTCCACATTCAATGAAATCATTGAAGAGTCTT